ATTCTTGTGTTTAATTATTCGTAAACAATTATTTTTTGAGACTGCAAGTACCAGGAATCGAACTCGGGTCCTGCCAAATGTGAAGCTCAGAATCAGCGCACCTTAACCAACTGATCCAAAGCCGTACTTGACTTTTTTGTTCGCATATTTTTCTTGAGTTTTGTTACTATTACTATGAAAGTTTTTTAAGTTTTAAATTATTAATGAAATAAATAAATTATTCAAAAACTATTCAAACTTTGAAAAAAAAACTGATTTTGAGAATAAAATAAAATATTTTAATATGAAAACAAAATTTACATAAAATTCTAAATCAAATTTTATCGAATGAAGTCAGTTTTGCTACTGTATTGACGATTTAATTACTTTTTAATATTATTATTTATTATTTAATAAATAATTATTTTCTCAAACTAAATTTATGCTTAATTGACATATATATTTTTAAAATTTTTTTTAACGTCCATTTTGACTAATTTCTTAATTTAAATTATTGTTTTCAATAGATAGGTTTTTAGTAAACAGTAGTGGAATTGTAGCAACAAGTTTTTTAAAGTTTATTATTTTTGCCGAGAGCTACGCTTCTTATAATGGTATAGAACCTATGTTTTAAAATTTAGTCGTATTCGAATAGCAGAGAAAAGACAAGAACAAAAATTTTGTTACTTATTTGAATTTTTGGCTGATAATGCCACAAATGTTTTTGTTTTTTTTTTTATTTTTATATTTTCAATTAAATGCATTTTTGGCTGACCATGCAGCTGTTTTTAGTATCACCAAATATCTATCATTAGTGGTCTTGGAATTATTTTTTATATTCAAATTAACCGTAAAAAATTGTTTGAGGCTGCAAGTACTTAAAGTCATACCCTGCCAATAAACATTTTTCTCAATAACATAATAACGAAATCGTGTTTTCACTTGGTTTTTTTTTTAAATAAAGACAAAATAAACTATCGTTAAAATACTTTTATTCATCACTTAAAGACTATTATATCAATTTTTTGAAATTAGAAAATTATTTTTGTGTGGTTTGTGTATTTATTTTGATTTATATAGTCTTCATATTTACACGATTGTCAATGTTACGAATTTTTTATTTTAAAAGTGAATGATAATGGCCTTTAAATAATAAATAAATAATAATACTAACTAAATTTGAGAAAAATAAAGCACTAAAAATCTTCTGTATAAAAAAAAATTAGAATATTAATTTTTAGATTGATTTTTATATCACAATTGAACTAAAAAATTAATTCCTTGAATTAATTATTTCTTGAATATAAATAAATCTAAACAAATATATATTTATAAACGAATAAATATATTGAAGAAATCTCTCAGTAAATATATCTTGGTTGCTTTAAAAATGCTTTGATGTGAACCACAAGTTTCCTTAAATGTGCTTAATTTTAAATAACACCACTTAAATAAATATTTTTATCAAGTAATATATTTAGTTATAAACACTAGTATAAGTCACATTTTCATTTAAATGTTTATTTTTTATTTTTTGCTAATAATTTTCTCTTCTATGAATTTTGCCTCGTACCCGTAATTAAATTATTTTTATGATTGTTGAAAAAATTTTAATTGAAATAATTTTTTTATTGAAATAAAAACAACAGGTCTCACTTACCATTATTTATATTTTTATATCAAAACCATTAAAAATTTTAGCGCCATTTTTATTTTGCTTTTTATGTTCAATTTAAAATTATATGAATAATATTTTAATATTATTTTTAAGTAATTAGTTATATGTATTAGAATAATATCTTTTATTCAAATTTCGACACTTTGAACCACTTCATTCAAAAACAAGGATCAAATCGCCAATACTTCACTTATGAGCGCCGCATATGCCAGTTAATTTGCGTATGAGTAACTTTTTCGACGACACGCGACTTAAATTTAAATTCAGGAGAAAGGAAACTTAAACACAGAATTATTCAAAGGACCAAAAGTTGAGTACACAATTGTCCGTGGTTTTTCCGCGCTTAGACCCGATAGTTTCGGCTGCGCGAAGAATACTGACACTTTTGGTAGTTGAATTTTTGGCCAAAAGCAGAAACGTGCAAGTCAGGACAGCCAAATAAAGTTTGTGGTAATAGACGAGCAACAGCTTCTTTTTATTTCGAATTTTCGAAAAAGCTCCTTTCGCAGGATAAACAAAACAAACAATTGCACGTGCACAGAGTCCTTATGCCTGCTGAGAAGAAAAGAAGACAAATAGGTGAGCTTTCTGGGGGGGTTCGAAAGTATTTGGCCTGTGCGTCGCATGTGACACTGAATTTGCCTTGAATTCTTACTTTCCGATTTTGAAAACAACTGTTGCAAATGCAGAGTTGTTTCTATCTGCGTTTGTGGGTGTGTGGGGAGGGGGTCGTAGAATATTCTGCTGACTTTATAGGTGAAACGTTAATGATGAAAAAGCCTCCATGCTGACATTGGCATTGTGTACGCTTGTTTTCAATTCCGGATTCAATGAAGGTTTTTGCGACAAATCCGAATTTGTGCTTGGCATTATGCGTGCTTATTGCCAACGAAATTGTATCTGCCAAGCGCAATTCAGGTACAATTCCATTCAAATAGCATTATTTGATTATTTAAGTCGAGTGCCATTTTAATGAGCGCATTTCCATAAAACATCAGCATTTTATTAGATTTATATTACAAATAGTGTACAAGCATCATTAGAAATGGCAATAGGACAATATGTTTTTATATTTTACAGTTCCTTTCTTGTAGTTAATTTAATAAAATTACTAGTTATCCAAAAATTACTATCTCTGTGCTTTCAATTCACCTATTTAGAGAAATTTTAACATATTTTTTTTCCTACAAAAGTTAAGGTAATTATTATCAATTACTATTATACGTTAAAAGCAATAACGGAATTTCTTATTTTATTAATAATGATAGTTTAGTGATTGATTGTTATTATGGCCGTGTGCGAGTTCGAGTAAATTGAGGTAAAGTAAATTTCAATTTCCTATTGATTTTTTGCGCTGCACTTAATATTTATTTAATATTTATTAATATTTAATATTTATTAAAAGTTAATATTTATTTATTTATTTATTGTACTTACTATTATTTTTGATTAAAAGTTTTCAAACATCTATTTATTTATTTATTAAACATCTTATTAAATTAAATTTTTATCTAATTTACCCTACTTGAAATTCTGGTAATTACCAATATTCTCTGCCATACCAACATAATTTAATATTTCTCTTAATTTACCATCAATTTACTCGAACTCGCACACGGCCTATGACAAATATATAATAAGTTTTTTGATTTCCACCGGGGTTAGGTCATCCATGTAATACATTAAATTATAAAAAATTATACTCATTTATTTGTGTTAAATATTTTTAATTAGAAGATTTTGAATTTATTTATCGTTTTTTTTAATGGTTTCTATATATTTTTTATCCGGCTATAAATGAATTTTTTTGTTAAATAATTCAACGTTTGTTTAATATATTTTACTGTATTCTATATTTCGACTGTCTTTGAGAGTCATCATCGTGATCCTGATCACAAAAAGTGCTTGCATGAAATTACACACCACCACACATGAGACAATCAAAAATCACCTCAAAGTCCTTCAAATGTTGCGGTCCAGTTAATTATTGTCTTTATCTGAGTTGTTGTGGTTCATTCTGAATTTTAACAAATTCTAAATGAATCACTCCACGAAATGAACGTTAGAAAAAGACAATAATGGCAAATACAACGGTTGAGTTTTACAACACTATATTAATCCATCACATAAACCTGTCATTGTTCCCAAAATACACAAATTCACAAATGAACCTAAAATCTTTTAATAAAGTCTATAATTGTAAACGGATAATATTATAGATCGCTATATAACCAAGCATTATAATATATTACAGTACTATTCAATAGAATACTGTCACAAAAAGGAAACCCTGAAATTTATTTCTTCGAAATTTGATCTATTGGAAATATTTGACTTGGAAAATATATATTCCAGGTCTAAGGATAAATAATTTTCTCTATTTATTTGTCTCTAAAAGAATTATAAAAAAATCAAAAACTTTTATGTGAATAAGAAGAAGCAAAGAGGTATTGTGTCTATTAAGTAAAAACTCTGGTCTTCGAATTATAAATAAAATGTTACCTTCGAAAGTAGTTAATTAATAAGTTCGGCATTTTAAAACACCTCAGAGATATTAATCGAAGGTTTTATGATTAATATGCATTTGGTCAGTTAAATTTTTTTACTAACTCTAGTGCCAGGTGTTATAATACATATTTACCTATTTTATCTATTTTGGGCTCCTGTTCTCCAATATACTACAAGTTACTTATGTCAGTCAAAAGAGATATCTCTATTTGCGTTTAACGACAAGTATTCAAGACATAGTGTCCGTCTAGTCTATCATAAAAACTGTAAGATAAAAATTTCTATTGTGCAATTCTCTACATCAAGATATTTGGTACTAATGGTTCGTTTACATTAATCAAGTGGTGTAAATCCTGTTATGCAAATCCTTATTAAATTGTAATGTCTTTGCTTACAGATATGTCAGCGTTTTGCTTCTCTTTCTAATTTTGAGATTTCTGATCCATTTGTCTAGACTTCTTTAGTCACGAATTCATTAGATTTTTGGTTCTTTTTTTTTATCCAACATACATTATGTTAGTGAGGTACAGAACAGCAAAACGTTATATACATCAATGACGATATTTTGGCACAGTTTTATTTTTTAATTAACTTTAATTAGTAATAACAATTATTACTATATTTAGTACCTTATTAAGTAATTATAAGTAATTAGTACATAATTATTATAAATGAAGCTGCTTTATTTACAATCAATAGCACCAAGTACTAATTTGTGATCACTTCGCCAAACAATTATAATATATTTACTAATCTGATATAGTAGGCATCTTATTTATTATTTGAAGTTGGAAGTAAAATTTATATATATCAAAAAAAAAATATTTACTGTTTGAAGGTATATTTTTTCAAATTTTAAACCATCACAAAATTCTATTAAGCGCGCTTTCTATTTTATACCTATTCTATTCTATTTTATATCAATGGATTACTCACATACTGATTCCACTACAGTAGGTCAAATTTGCACTGACCTGCCAGAGAAAGAAATATCACCTGAACCACCTTTAGTAACGGTAGAATATGATTATTACGCGAAAACCGATGTACTTAAAGATTTCGAGGCTTATAGAGATAGTGAGAAGAAAGATAAAATACCATGGTTCAATAAAGGCAAGCTAATTCAATAATTAAGTATTCATTATATTTTAAATTAAATAATTATTCTAAAACTTATACAGAAAAAAATTGTTTGAATAAGCTGAATGACATTCATTCATACAATACAAAATTTCTCAAAACATCAAAAAAGAATAAAGATAGCGAACCTCAAGTCCTATATGAGCCCTTTCCTGAATGTGTTGAAAAGTTCGAGAGAGGAAACGAAAAACACGGATTATGTAAGACTGAAGACTGTGAGGAACATAAGACTATGTTACCAAATGTTATTTTTAGTGCGAGAAAAGCACCATGGACTAAAGATAAGAAAACAAATCCCACTACTGCTAGACAACGTCGGTTGAGGGAAAAAATTCTTTTTACTTCATCGTCATTAAAGCGTTGTCCATTGCCATTTGATTTCGGAAAAACTCAAGATTCAGGTGATAGTAAGAAAAAAAAAACTAAGGCCAGAAAAAAACGTGAGGATCCTATTCCAGTAAAAGAAGAATATGTTAATAGTGATGAAGAAACTCTGACGGACGCTCCAGAGTGTGAACAAAATTTACTTCCCTCAGTAATACCTTCAGAGCACCATTTGAATTTTGTTGAAGAGAGCGAAAATGTAAAGAAATACCTTAATGAGAAAACTGCTAATAAACCACCTACCAATCCATCATCTAGCTGTTTTGAACTCAGTCCTGATTCTTCTGTCATATCTGAAGAGCTCATATCATTTAAAGAGGAAACTTTTGCTAATTCGCCGTCTGAACAATCATCACAACTGAAAAAGCAAAATGCGATGATAGAGGCTATGAAAAATAGTGAACTGCTACTTTCAACCTATAAAATTCAGAATGAGTTGAATAAAGTAAATAGGAATAAAGCACAAACAGAGAAAGAAATTATAAGTAACATTTTACTAGTTCCTAACACTGCTCGTATTTGCAAGCGAATGCAGAATAATACAACACAAACAGAGACGAAATCTAACACCACAGTTTTACCAGTTCCTGAGACTTGTCCTAAGTACGACACAAAATACAAAGCGGAACCGTTTGTGGCTAAGAATATTTTTTTGCCTTCTAACGGAACTCTTAGGGGCTCTACAAATCACAACAAAGGCAGACGAAGAAAAATTTCAAGCAAGATTGCTGATTTGATTGAAAAAATCAATATATCTAATATAACCGCCAAAACTGATAGTGTTACCAATCGTACATATTTTAATCAACAAAAAAACATAGAGCCAGCCCACATTCCTTTGCAAAAATCACAGTCCCGTACAAATAAACCAGTGGAATCCACTTCAGCATTGCCTGGCAGAGAGGAAGAAGTATCTGATGTTTTGGAGCTTGGTGAGAAATATTCAGATAATCACGATAATCCAAAAAAATACGATGGGGAAACGGAAACTTGGGAGGACAGAAAGGTTGAAAGAAGGACATGTTGTGGAGGTAAGGATATTTTACTAAACACTTTAAATAAAATAATTTCAGTAGTTTTTAATATAGTTATGATCACAATAGCACTTCTTGGCATGGTCTTGGCGTCGCTAGTTTGGTTGGTACATAATAAATAATTATAACATAGTAAATAATTTGAATTTCGCACAAATTTTTATATATTGTTTCAAAAAAAAAAAAATAAGTAAATAAAACTTGCATGAGAATATTTCATTATTTAAAAATGAAGAACGAAGTCATGTATAATTTTTTTTGTATTTATTATCGGGATTATTTGTGAAAAGTGTATTCGTACAAAGTGCGCGCAAAATAAATCGCTCCGCAACTTTTAATGTTTTTTATTAAAAAAATGGAACACAGTGATCACAAATTTAATTAAATAAATTGAGACAGTGACTCTAAATAAAAAGCTAATAAAATTGTGCCTGATTTTAAAAGATAAGTGAAACTTTTATTGAATTTAAAACATTTGTTTTTTATCAAAAAAAGAGTTTAACTTTGCAAAATTATTTTTGTTTTGAATTTTATTTTAATATTTTTCACACACATCTAAAACAGCTGATAGAGACAGCATATAAAGCTTGAAAGCTTCACATAAATAAAGAAAAAAAGTGTTGTAAATTGACTCTGATATTATACCAATTGCAATTCGCTTATCGTGTAATTGTGTAATTTTTTAATAAAATCTTTTAATTTGTTTTTTCTTTTGTATTCCTTTATATATTTTTTATATTTTATATAAAACGACTGCACAAATTTTATAAAAACATTTTATGCCTATAAATAGAACACCACCTCCGGTAAAAGAAGGTGGTACACACCAATTAAAAAGTGAAAATTCACCAGCAGATGTTGGAACTAAACAAGTTCAAAGTTTAGAAAAAATGAATAAACAAAGTACAGACATTGCGACTTTACTAAAGGTTTCTCAGCGAGAACGAGCAGGATCTATGAGCGAAATCCATAACGCCAAAATTGATTTTCCGTGCAGAAAAGAAGAATGGAACGAAGTTAAAGGTAGTAAAAGACTTAGAGACAGTCCTGAAAAAATGAAAAAACCAAAGCAACAAAAATTGAACTACTGGCTCAGTAATTCGAATAGATTTGATGGACTAGTAGTGGAAGAAAAAGAAGACCAACCTGCTAAACAAGAGGAAAAACCGCTTAAATCACCACCAATTTTTGTAGATAAAGTTGAGGACGTTCGCCCACTTTTAAATCTGCTTAACGAAATTGCAAATAATAAATATGAAATGAGAGTGATTTCATCTACTCGGGTTCGTATACAGCCCGGTGCACCGGAAATTTATTCAAAAATCGTTAAAATGCTAGAAAGTAAGAACACGGAATTTTATACATACAAACCTAAAAATGAAAGGAGCTTTAAGGTCATATTAAGAAATATGCATCCCTCCGTCGATATTGGGGATATAAAAACAGCTCTAGAAGAATTTGGACATGCTACTACAAATATATGGAATATGAAACATTGCCAAACAAAAAGGTCCCTTCCAATGTTCGTTGTAGAAATAGAGCAAAAACCAAATAACAAAGATATCTACAACATTAAAAGCTTACTCCACAGTCGAGTTACCTTTGAGCCACCCCATTTTAAACGTGAGTTACCTCAATGCTCAAGATGCCAACACTATGGCCACACTAAATCAGGATGTAGAAGACAACCCAAATGCATTAAGTGTGCTGGTAATCACGCATCGGCTGACTGCGAAAGAAAATCCAGAACAAATGATGTTAAATGTGTTCTTTGTGAAGGTAACCACCCAGCAAACTACAAGGGCTGCTTAGTGTATAAAAAACTGCAAGCGTCTACTTTCCCACCACTTAAAAAAAAATTTCTAAAACCTGATGCTGAATTTGTATCCTCAACTAATCAGCATCAAGAACAACACGAAAAACAGCAAACTTTCGCTCAACCTGCACGCGCTCAACCAGGTCAAACTACTCCAAATAAAAACTCTCAGCAAACTTACGCTCAAGTTGCTGCCAACCAAATAGATCAAATTTCTTCCAATAAAAATAATCTTCACAGCGATGCATTGGTGAGTGAAATGAAAGAATTGATGAAACTAATGCGGGAAGTAATGAATCAAATAACTACCATGACAAATCTTTTAGTAAGTCTTGTTTCTAAACAAACCATATGCCCATAAAGCTCGTCTTATGGAATGCCAATGGGTTGTCAAAACATTCCTCTGAACTGAGATTATTTCTATCAAAAAATAACGTAGATGTATTATTAGTTTCAGAAACTCATTTCACAAAAAAAAATTTTTTTAAAATTCCATCCTATTGTTTCTATCAGTCTCCGCATCCGGACGGAAAAGCTCATGGAGGCTCTGCAGTATTAATTAAAAGAACACTTAAACATTATGAATGTACTCACTATAGCACTGATGAAATTCAAGCCACAAATATTATGATCGAGGACTCAGTCGGACCAATTCTTATATCTGCCATATATAGCCCACCAAAACATAATGTGAAGGAAGAAATCTACACAAAATTTTTTTCAACATTAGGGAATCGATTTATAACTGGTGGCGACTTCAATGCGAAAAATATATTCTGGGGATCACGACTAACCACAACAAAGGGACGTGAATTATACAAAGCAGTGAGACTCTTGAAACTTAAAGTTTTTTCCACAGGAGAGCCCACATACTGGCCATCAGATACAGATAAAATTCCTGATCTTATTGATTTCTGCGTTACCAAAGGCTTCCTTTATGAACATGTGCAATGTAAGACCAGCTTAGATTTATCATCGGACCATTCACCAGTGATTGTAATAATAGATAAAGACCTTAGAAACAAGATCCAAAAATGTCAATTATACAACAAGCAAACAAATTGGCCTATATTTGAAACAATGTTGTCATCGTCTCTAAACGTCAAAATGCCACTAAAAACTGAAGAAGATATAATTGAAGCGACTGAATACCTAACCAGATCTATTCAAGAGGCAGCATGGGAAGCTACTCCTCCTCCAAAAGTCTATATGAAGAATCTAGTAACGTATACTGGGGAGATCACAAAAAAACTAAAGGATAAACGAAATGCTAGAAAAATATGGCATCGCACCAGATTTCCTGAAGACAAGAGGAAACTTAACAAAATTATTAAAGATCTAAAGACTCTGCTGAAACGACAGACGGAACAAAATACGCAGAAGTTCTTACATAGCCTCGACACGTCTCACTTATCTCACTATTCTCTATGGAAAGCAAATAAAAAAGTAAATAATACAATAGATTATCGACCCCCACTTAAAAATACAGATAATACTTGGGCGAAAAAACCGTCTGAAAAAGCTCAACTTTTCGCAAGCCACCTAAAAAACGTTTTTATTCCACATGATATGACTGGCGATTCAGAAATAGATGTCAATGTTTCCAAATTTTTAGAAG